TTATAGTCTGGTAATTAAATTAGGAAAAATGATTGAATTCATTAGTTTTATAGTTTTTGTAGTCATTTATTAGTATATTTGATAATTAAATAAGGAAAAGAATTATCTTGCGAGTAGATGAATTCCTCTTCTTACATTAAGTGTAAAGGTGGTTGATATAAAATGATGAAAAATAGAGATTTAAGGGTAGAACAAGATAGATAGAAGGGGGTGTTTGGAGATCTACTCTTTAAAGTTGCTTCTCATGGAGCATAAGTAGATATTGGAATGTTTGGTGAAAGTGAAAATATTTTTAAGTGTTCTAAATTGATCTTAGAAGCACTGTTTGAGAAGATAAGGGAGATTGGTTCTGAAAAATGAATTTTAATTATACTTGTGTTTTTTAAAAAGAAGTAGAAGCACAAAATCATTGCAAACATCCCAAAGTATTGAATGTTTCATTCTTCGTAGAGGAGAATGTTAAATGAATATGTAGTGGAGTACATTTTTACTCCATGAGCGATAACCACATAGTGTGATTAAAAGAACTCCATATTTGTAGGGTTAGGGTTGGTTCCGCCATTCATTGTGCGGTGTGCTGGGTTATTCAAAGAAGATAGTTGTTTGTGTTTGCTGCCGATAGAGTGATCTTTGTTTCTTGGGCTTTGTAGTATTAGATTAGTTTCAATTTTCATATCGTTCCCTTCTTTTTTTCTGTTCGAATTTTTTAAGCTATGAGATTTCCTTGAGAAGATTATTGTTGTGTCGTGAACAATGCAGAGAGATGCAGTTGGTGGATGAATCCAGCAGGAAGAAGACGGCCATGGGAGATTTGATGCAAACATGACAAGGTTTGGTCCTGGAAGAGGAGAAGGAGGGGGTTGCTATTGATCTTGAAGAGGATTCGGGTGAAGCAATCAAACAAGAGCTAGATTTTGCGGTTGTCGACCGATTGGTTACTGACAAATCTATCAAATTCCCTATTTCAGAGACTTGATGACATCAATATGGATGCGAGAAAGGGGAGTTTCGATTAAAGAAATTGGGGAAAGGTAAATGACAAGTTGGGACGACATCTTTGTCCCAAATCCGTGATGATTGGTGGACGATTACAACCGTAGAGATTGCATGAGCGACAAACAACTCGTGCAACTCTTATCGCAAAACCAAGGGTGCTTTATATATGCAACAAGAAAACCTTCTCGAGATTAACGAAGAAATGGAGGACGACAACGCCGAGGAGGAGGCATAAGGCATTGGGGGTAAGGAGGAACAAAGCGGTGGGGATACCCCCGACAAGGAGGAACAAGGCAACGGCTCTCCCAACAAGGAAAGACTTCTAAACTCAAATCTCCTCTTTTTGTAGATCATTTAAACTAGATGAAGATTCTGGAAGACGAAAAGTGGCACACATACACATTGCAAACATTGTCCGTAAGTATTTTGCATCGGAGTGTCGACGGGCTACGGCAACTTCCAAAGACACTTGAACTTGAGGCGACAATGAAAGGCAAGGGCATGCAAACACAAATATCGAGGTTTGCAAATGATCAACTCTTTCGTAATTTCATTTAAAAGCTATGTCTTGCTTTATGTGCTTATGTTCAAGGTTCTTGATTAAATCCACAATTTAGAAGCTATAGCCGCAAAACAATTAAAAAATATATTTTCGAAAAGGGAAAATTAATTATTTTTTTTTGCAAATTTTAATGGGTGATATGTGAGTTATCACCCATTGAAATATGTGAGTTATCGCATTTCAGGATTTTAATGAAAGACACACTGGTTATAATATTTATATTATCATGTAACATATTTTAATTGAATATAGTTTGATTCATAAAGTGTTTGCTATTGGTTTCGATAATGCTACTTATAATATTGCCGCTATCGGTAGATTTTTGTTTTGCGTTGTGCATGTCATACTATTAATTTATGTGTGAAAGACGACTTAGCCGCATTAGAAAGTGTGATGGAGAGAATTAGGGGGGCTGTTACATTGATTTGGGTAAGTACTCAACTTAAAATGCAATGAGGTGCTTATTTTATTTCTAAATGTATTAAGTATATATTGTTCTTTTTCTAAGGATCTTTCTATTCGTTGAAATAATACTTATAATTTAATTGTTGTGCTTCTTAGATTTAAAGATCATTTCCCTACTTTTATGAAAAAACTTGTAATTATACTGTACAACCAGTGAGATTGATACAATGGAGAAAATTTGCATCGTTTTAGTTTATTTTCTAAATGCTACTCAAACTTTTTCTCATGTTTACACAACAACTAGTAACCAATTTTTTTTTGTAGAAATTGTTAATCTCGTCGGTGCTTTTCAAGAGTTTTCCCAAGCTCTTTATGTTCATTATTTTTGTGATTTTATGAAGGATTTTTTTTTAAAAAATATTTCCCCTGCAGTCCGCCTATATATTCTTAAAATATTTTTCCCACATTCAACAATTGTAGTGGAACAAGAGTTTAGCGAAACCGACAATGTTTTGAATGACTATAGAACGAGGTTGAGCGATACATATCTTCAGACGCTCATTTGCATCCATGATTGGTTGAAGGCATGCCATAGAACATGAGAAGTGAACATAGCACCGGACTGGCACTTCATGGAGGAATCGACAACTGACGCCGGAAGCGGCTCTGACGATTAGTTAATGTACTAGTTTTTGTAACGCGCGATGCGCGATTGAGATGATGCCCAATGAGTTATGTGCATATAGGGTTTTAGTTCAATGCACTTTCCTTGCATGGGAAGCGATTCTATAAGAAGCTTATCTTATGATATACTTTTGATCGGAATTCATGCGCTTTTGGTAATGTTCCACCTATTTTAGCCTTGCATTGGCTCTTTTGACCAATGATAATGATTGTAATGTTGTAAACCTTTAATTTGTACACACAAAGTGCCTAAATACATGAGAAAGATGACTTTGAATTGAAAGAGACGTTATGTACTAAGGACAGTTCATGGGCCTCGAATGTTTGCAATTAATTGTCAGGCACAGGATTTTGGAACTTGCTTCTGCGGGCATAATATCAACCATGTGTAATTTTTCTCGCACTTCAAGTAATCGATCATGAACTCCAGCTTCTAGAACACTGGTATCTGCGGTTTCAGTTTCAGATGCACGCTTGGTCTATTTATATATTCTCCAGTATTCTCATAAAGCTTTCTCAAGCTACAAAAAACATTTACTGTAAGATTAGCACGCCAATTAAGAAAACACACCAAGGTAGGAAGCAAATAAATAGTTACATTGTGAAAAGACTAACAAACTTTTTACCTAAGCCAAGAGCAAATCTAGGCATAGAAGAAACGAATCAAAAGTCACTACACGTTGTCATATTAGTATGGATCATTTCGAATCAATTAACCTTTCAATAACCTTTAAAGGCCTTAAATCTGATACTAAGGCTTTACCTTTGCACCATTGTTTCAACTTGTACATACATGATACATTTATGTCATTTGAGAAGTTTGCTCCTATCAAATACGTCCTCGTACTTTAAGCAAAACAACAATTAATCCCTTGTACTTTCAAAATGCTCAATCAAGCCCCCAATGTAATTAAAAACATCCAAATGGGGTCGTTTAGTCAGAAATACGCCAGTCTTCTGGTAATCCTACTGAATGGGCTGTCCATGTGGCATTTTCGCTGTTCATTTCTATTTTGTTCGTCCTCCCCTCTTTTTCTTCCTCCAACCATCTTCCTTCCCTCCAACTCTTTGAAATGTTATTTTCTTTATTCTATCAATAAAACCTATTTATTTCATTACTTCAATAACTTCTTTAATAGAGGCCACACATTTAGTAACTTGATCCAAGTTCACCCATACAAAAAAGGCTCTTTGTTTTCCCTATGGTTGATAATGATTAAATGGCAGCCTTGAGCCCTTTGACAGTCTTGTAGCCCGTTTGGTAGAATGAAAATTGGTTGATTTGACTGATTTTGCTTAAATTTATGAAGTTTTGGGCTGCATTGGCCGATTCTGCTGAAGTGGCTGCATTGACCGATTATGCTGATTTAAGAAAAAAAATATTTCTAAAATATATTTTGTTAATAAAATAAAGAAAAAGTTATATGTAAACGTAGCTAAAATGGTCATCTACAGTAACCTCAGCCAATACAACCAGAAAAGTAACTCCAACCTTACTTTTTCTGCTCACTACACAATTCAGTGCGCGAAAACAAAATTTATGTGTTTGGTGAAAAAGTTGGCTGATAAACCTGATAAGCCCAAAAACAGTGTTGCCAAACGGCCTCTTGATAAGGTTGAGATGGAAAAGATGAATTAAGTAACAATAAAATAGATAATTAGCACAAGAGTTAGAAGGGACAACTGTAAGAAGATTAAGGTAATCACCAAGGAGAACAACATGTGTTAAAGCCTTAGCCAAAGCAACTTTGGCTACCTCATTTTATTTCCTTCACAACAATTAGTGTCTTCTCTATAACAACAATTGCACTTTTATCAAGTTTCCCCTTCTTCGGTTCCTGAATACTACTACTACTACTTCTTCTTCTTCTTATTATTATTATTATTATTATTATTATTATTATTATTATTATTATTATTATTATTATTATTATTATTATTATTATTATTATTATTATTATTATTATTATTATTATTATTATTATTATTATTATTATTATTATTATTATTATTATTATTATTATTATTATTATTATTATTATTATTATTATTATTATTATTATTATTATTATTATTATTATTATTATTATTATTATTATTATTATTATTATTATTATTATATTATAATTATTATTATTATTATTACTATTACTATTACTATTATTATTATTATTATTATTATTATTATTATTATTTCTTAAAGAATGATAAGTAACCAGTTTCAACACGTGAACCGAATCAGAACGCCAAAAACACATAAAAACATGATCAGTAAAGCAAATTGTGTGTAATTTTATAACAGTGTAGTTAAAGAACAAGGAAAATGAAGATTAAGAAAACTTACTTGGGAATACGGGAGAAATCACATTATGCATCCTAATTCAGATGAGTTCTAATTCAAATATGGAATGAAATATAGATAGGATAATTAACAGAGAATGAAAGAATAATTATTTTTTATATACTTTTATTCCTAAAAGAGCTCTAGTTACATGAGTCTTCTATTTCAGTTTCTGTCAGGAATTAACACTATCAACTTTGAACAATCGTTGGATCCAAAGTTGATAGAATCTGCGGCATTGACATACCACATGATACAACAATCTCAATTCCTTCGCGAACTGACAAGTTTGGTCTTATAACATCTTTTGCATTGACGAGAAATATATCACCAATGTATAGGTGATTTGTTGGAACATACACACAGCACAAATCTTCATCTTCTGAATAGTTCTGAAGAACCACATATGAAGTAATGAACCCAAATGCATATTCACCGATACGTGGATCCCTTATGATGGCCACCTCCTTAAAAGCTTGAGTGTTCTGATCTGGAGATATGGCAGAACTAATTTGCTTTGATGCATTATAGATATGACGAACAAATGGCATTCTTTTGATGAACCATTCTCCAAGACTTAAAACAGATGCCCCCAACCAGGATGACATGAACACTCCAACCAAAAAAATGAAAGTGATTGAAGTAACAAATCCCAGACCAAAAATAGTGATGCCAAGCTGCACATATATAGGAGAGAAAAATCCGTCCACAAAGTGAATGAACCACCATGTTATATAAAAGGTGACTGCTATCGGAAATAGGATAACACATCCGGTCATGAATTTCTTTGAAGCCCAGCTCCTAACAACTTTGTAGAATGTCTCACGGCCAGTGTGGGCGTGGTGAGCAGAAGTGGCGGAGGACGAAGGCTTGGATTCATGGTCGTCAACGGCGGCGGAGGAAGCCACAGGAATGAGAAGCTCCAGATCTCTTTCTCTACTGGTGTTCCCCATCATACCCGCCATCCCCGATTTGTCATCCCCCATCTACTTTTACCAACCCAACTTCAGACCCCTCTTTGTCCCAGTAGTCTACAGATTTCAACACTCTGTTCCACTCTTTTCCCTTACCTGATGTCTCCCATATCCCTCTAGTTACATGAGTCTTTAAGCCAAAGTGGGTAAAGATGAAAGGATAACTTCAACCGTATGTTAAAAAAACCAGTATAACAAAATAACTCATGCAAACTTTTAAAAGAAGCAAGTTGTTCAACATGTAAAAATTACCGTGCCAAATAATTCTGAAAGTTTGCTTCCACAAATGACTAAGAAGGAGCTTAACAATATATTGCACACTGTGAGAACCTATATGAAAACCAGTAGTGATCCAGGTGTGATTAAAACTAATTATTTTAATATATTACAATAGTGTAATAGTGGATTATTGAAATCCCATAATACGCAAATGTAATGTTTTTTGAGCCAGCGAGAACAATAATAAGAGGGCAGATTCCTGAATGAAATCTAAGGGTGGCTAAGTATTATTGTGGATGTTGTGGATATAAGAGATGTTGCAACTCCTTGCAAACCCACTTTTACAGATAACTTGCTAGAGATACTCTTAACCCCAAAATGTCTTCTTATAGTCTTATTCATAGTAAAAATCTAACCGTACACACCAAGATAAAATCAAGGGAAAAAGAACTTTACAATGTTCAAGGACCGCGGAACTTTAGTGACAACTACATTTGTCTCACAAAGTGTACCGCAAGCTAATAATATAAGGATCCAAAAACTTTTTCTTTTTACTAACAAAATTCTATAAGATGAAACCAACTATATTTCATTGTGGATGAGTGCTGCAACATAGGAAGAGTGTTTGAGAAGCATAGGAACAGATAAGAACGGTGAGCATTACTGTCCAGAAGAGTAGACCGAAAGAAGAGAAGAGCAGAGTATCTTACAATAGAGAAAAGCACACACCAGTTCCAACATATATATATATATATATATATATATATATATATATATGACATCTGTATTTTTGTTATCTTAACATGAGGGCTCTTTTAATGTGTGCTCTTCTAAATATGTTCTTTTAAGGGTAAAAACTACCTGATTTCATATGGACATTTAAACAAACACATAGATGGCATAAATATAAAAGGGAAACTACATCAAAAGAAATTCCATGGAGCACAAAAAGAGATGGCATTTTATCGATTGTGGAATTCCTTGCATCACTGCACGGAAAAAAGCAAGATTGAAATACAATGTCAAAAGCTTGAAGAAAGCATAATACGGAGTAAAACATTTGGTTAAAAAAGAAATATACGGAGTATTAAAATCAGTATGCTAATCCATTAAAAATCATCAAGACTATATCACATATCTTTATTTGTATCCTATGATATTAAACGGATATAGAATAGCTTTCTCATTATTCCTTAAAACTGGCCTTTACGGAAGTGGTATAAAAGCTAAACATTTACAATGCAGAAATAAATATAAAAGAAGACATAAAACCCAAAAAAATGAATGCCAAGTGAGAAAAGCCACACCTTATCCATGAGAGGGACTCGTCCATAGGGACCAGATTGTTCAAAATATTGAAAGTAGAGGTAACCCAATCTATCATTCAAATGCAGACCATCATGTTCATACTAGCATCCATCCCATCTAGACAACTTCTCACTCTCACTTTTGTCATTGAATGAATCGCTAAATGAATCTCGAGTCTCGCAAACTGAGTCACTCTCATCCCTTGGACAATTAAAGGGGAAACTACATATTCGCAAAATGAATTCATAACTCAAGCCACCCAAACTACTTGCACAAACAAATACGGGAGCCTGTACAATAGAATCATATTTTGGGCAGATTCATTTTGAGCCTCGTGGATATTGTGGAATACATAATCCCTGTCAAGAAGAATTATATTAACTCAGCAAAACCAACTTTATATTAGCAATCAGAATACCAATCAATTGCAAACGAGAGTTCAAGGAACTATGTATTACTATGTAACATTTAAGGAACGTGCCAACTATTTGTGGCTCTATCGTCTTGTGCCGATCATGAGTAAACTAAATCAAAAGAATAACGACATAACGTACACGAGCTGGAGAAGATGAAGGGAAAGAAGCCTGCGGAACTCCGGCGCAGATGCTACCTCTGAGCTGGGCGTGTGGCGAGCGGCTTGGGGCATGCCAGTTAACCCTAACGCTAAATCTATTCAAGCTCAGGAATGAGACGCAGAAAAAGGGGACACGTGAAATTGTACTAACAGAAGGGTATAAACGGAGGAAACAGAGTACAATGCTTTAACAGCATAGTATACCTTCATTTAGCAATTGTGTACCACCAACAAATTTATTATACCCAAAACAACCTTACCTTCATTCATCCTTATTATTTTGTAAAGATTTAAAGTTAAAAATACTCTCAATTGTAATTTATAAATGTGTCATAGTCATTGTAGTGTTTCAAATAAATATACATTTTATCTTTTAATGTGCAGAATTGCATTTTAAAAAAATAAATAAATACAGCCCTAACCGGCCTGGGCCCGGGCCCTGATTAATCCAGGTCGATTCCGGTCTTCGAAAATGGGAACATGGATTGGCCGGTCTGGGACTGGAACTGGGACCAGACTGGGTGCGAGTCCATCCCTAAAGGGAGATGGCCAAAAACCTCCGACGACTTCACAACATCCATCCCTCCGATTTCCACCGACATCGCAGGAGCCCCACGCCGGCATCAACTAGCTTTTCCAGCAGCTAAGAGAATTAGACGAATGGAGAAGCAGAAGACAGAAGAGCGGCATGCCCCATGTCAGAAAATAAGATCGGCAACAACATCCATGGCCCATGCCATGGATTACAGCACTCGTCCTCCTCTGTATTCGCTGCTGAAGTTCCGATGAAGAATGACAAGCTTCTTTTGATATGATGGAATGGAAGAAAGAAGGATATGAGAGAAAAAGAAAGGATGTTGTGGACTTGCGATTTGGATCTTATGTGGAAGAAGACATGCAAGGGAAAAGAAAAGGAAAAAATGTAACATTTGGCATGTGAATCGGCCATATATGTAATGCAACCTATTAACCGGTTGCTTACTGGTTTGAAATACTGAATTGAGTGGTTTTTTACAATTGGGGGAATTGATTGGGTAATTTAATAGTACCAAAACTCAATTGACTTTTTTGATATAGTTGAAGACCTATTTGACAAAGAGGAACACCTCGAAGGCTTTACAAAGGTAAAAAGAAGAAGAAACAAAATCATGACCTTGATAAATATATCAAACGAAGACTCACAAGATGCACAACAATACTACCAGGTGAGACAATCAGGAGCAACTCAAAAAGACCCCCAAATGAGACGAATTAGTTTCTTTACTCGGTCGATGAAAGGTTTGACTTCCTACATAAATTAGCAGTTGCACTCAAGCGCTACAAATTATCTCATCCGGAGGCCGAGAACTTTCCAACTCTATCTTTAGAAGGTCATCAAGTTCTATAAAAATTCAACAGATCCATCTCTACTTCAATGGGAATTCCTCGTAATACTTTCAATTGTCGATGTAATTTTATTTTGTTGTTTTTGTTTATTTCTCTTGTACTTGCAACTTTATTTTAATAAAATAGGGAGGTGTTCCACGGCACCCCCCACCTAGTGTGGTTCTAACCGGGGGACGGGGACAAAGACCTATTTGACATTTAAAATTTTGACGTGTCTTAAAATGAGTCAATTTTTTATTTTTATTTGTCCCATTATATATGGTGCCGCGCATAACTACTGAGGATATTTTTATCTGCACTTATTACAGTCCTATATCAAATTAGATCAGATCAGATTAGATCAGACAAACTTTAAAAGACCAAATCAAAAGAGATCAGATTTCGAAAGTTGCAAAATATACAGAGACCAGACATGTATAAGACGCGATCATATTTAAACAGACCATACCAGACCAGGACATTTCATTCGAATAAAAACATTCTTATAGAGTTATAGAGTTCCACATAAATACATAATGTATACTCACCATTTAAATACATATCAATTGAAATTTCATTTGCCCCGATCAGTATTCAATTCGTGAGTTACAAATACATAAATGTAGAGAAAATAAAAGGAAAAAGACCAGGCTAACTCACACACTGCACACACAAATTAAATTTAAATAAATAGAAATTTAATGTTGTACTTGAAAGAGCAAAAAGAAAAAAAATGCAAGCTCCGTTTAGTCTTCGTATTATCTGGTCATTCCTCCTTCAACTATTGGAGCCATGGTGATTCCATGATTTTGTCTTTCCATGTTTCCGTGCCACCCTTAACAAAGAGAACAATAAAATGTCAACTAATACGTAAAAACCAGCAAATCATCATCAATTATTATTGACTTCGCAATAACATTACTCCCTCCGTCCCAGAATTAACTTCGGTTTTGACTGGGCACGGAGATTAAGAAAGTGGGAAATGTGTGGTGGAGAGTTGTGCAGAGGAGAGAGAAATGTGTAAGAATGGTTGTGAACCACAAATCCTTTGCTAAAAAGGGAAAGAGGAGATAAATTTGGGACGGACCAAAAAGGAAAGAATGAAGATAATTATGGGACGGAGGGAGTATTATATTAATGAAAACCTACGTTATTTTTGTGTATACAAGAAGTACTGAAAATCATAAATTTGTTATTTATGTTTGAAATATACTCCGTATATGATATCAACGTGACATTCTCAAGGAGAAGATCACAAATTCGGAACTCGTCTGAGTAAAAATGTTGACATTTAACAAAACAAATATTATAACATGCCAGAATGTGTAGCATTATATATATTGGTGCAATTATATACGAAGTATATACCAATGGACATGTCAAAGCCGCGGCTCTTAAGCTCTCGGTACTCCTGGCATAAGGCACAACACTCGCAGAAGCAATGAACCATACAATCCCCGCAGGGGCTTTCCGTTAACGCGAACTGCTCCCTCATCTTTGTCCGGTAGAAGCATGAATACAAGCACGCGCACCCGGTCACACATTCCAACAGCGCGTACAATGCTCCACTCACTCCACAAGCTGTAAATAATGCATCCAACATTTTCTTATTTTTTCATTTAATGTATCAATAATAATGCATTCTACATTTGATGTGAGCTATGTTGCATCAAAACGCAGAAATTGAGGTAAAAGGAAGTCGAAATGGGAAACATTGTTTTTGTCATAAAAATAAATGTGAAGAATTTTTAAAAGGTTTTTATTTGTTTCTGAAATGAAAATGTACTCTTGTTTAGAGTTATCGTGCTTCATAGAATGCCAATGCATAATTTAGGTACTAAATGCTTGATGCAAATGAAATGGATGTAATATTTCTCAAGTATATATAAACATGAAGTAGTAATGCATCTATGTTTTAGATACCACTTATAGCCCCTTTTTGTAGTTGGTTTTAGCTTTTCCTATGAAACAGTGAACTTAGAATTTTACTTGTTGAATTATGTAATAACGAAGTAAGTGGAATTGAAGTTATTAAATTGACTTAATTAGTATACCGAAGAGGATTATTCAAAGTTTTTCATACATTTTTCTGAATGTATATGAGAAAATTGCTCTCCATAGGATCATATCAAAGAAACTTTACAAAAGTAGGATTAAGCTGTGTTTTCCCCATGCGTAGGATCTATTTAGCACCATTTTCGAAAACTTTATTCTTGTCTTCCATTTTTACCCTTCCCGTTATCCCCCTGCACTCGCCCTCTGCAATTCTCCTCTGCCACAACCTATCTCTCCCAACCTCACATCCCACCACCATATTCAGCCCCCAACCATTGCACACCATTGCCCTTCCCTGGCGATGAGCGCCGCCGCCTCGGCAGCCCCATTCCCAACCCCAGCCCTTGAACAGCCATAGCCCCCCACACCGGCACTATATCACCCTGCAATCGCCGCACATCACCGCTACATCCTTTCCCCAGTCCCATCAGACCACCGCCTTCTCCAAAAAACTAGCCTCAACGCCGATCTGAAGTCGTAGACTTCTTTTAACCCATGACTCTTTGTCTCCAACGCAACATGCCGGAAAGAAATTGAGAAGAAGAAGAAGACGTGCAGCGGACGATGACCTGGAGGTGGAGGCGGCGACTCAGAGGCGGTGACCGGAAGATGGAGGAGAGCCGGCGACCTAGCTTCGAAGGCGGAGACCTGAAGACGGAGCTGCGTGGATCTGGATTTGCGAAGGACAAATGGGAGAGAGTCGGGAGAAGATGGGTTCGGTTAGGATACTATGGAGAGCAATTTTCTTCATTGTTTGTTTATTGTCTATTTAATGTCTATTTAATGTCTATTTAATGTCTGTTATTTTCTAAAAGTAAGGGTATTATGGCCAATGCAGGTCTGGTTAAGTCTTACGCTAATCTTCGGTCTTAGTTTTGGAAAATCCGTACGTTTTGCTCCTACTTGTTGAAATCTCCCAATGTATATACGATCGTATTTAGGCCTTATTTTTTCTTAATTTAGTAAATCAGGCCTTTATATTTCAACTACTATAGTACGGAGTACACGATAATTTTAGCAATTTAAGTCAATTTAGCACTTTCAAATGAATCGGAAATAATTTCAACTTTCAACTACTATGAAAGTGTAAATAATTTCACAAAAAAATGTACATAGTAAGAATGATTTAGAGCCACACAAATTTACCAAAATATAGTACATGACAATTTTAGTGGAATTTCGCAAAAAGGTAAAATGTGACAATATAATTTAATTTGATTTGATTGGTAAAATTTTAAAAGAATTACGGGTACAAAATTTCATGGTTTGAAAAAGTAATAATAATTAATAATAACACTAATAAACTAATAATAAAGGTAATAATAATAGTAAGACATTTGTAGTTAGTAGACTTACAATTAGAACCCTTATCCACAATTTCTGCCACTTGTCCAAAAGTGATGCATGGACAACAGAGAGTTATGCAACCTGATCGACCGACAAAATGAAGAAGAAGAAGAACTCAGGGGACAGTGTATGGAAGTGAATGGCGGCGCGTGCAGCACGTGTACCGGAACTTTATTAAAAGCTATGAAGATCGACAAACTTACAGTTAGTGGGATCGGAGAAACAGTCGCAAAGGCCGGTGGACCAGGGGACCCGAACCGTAGGCTTGACTTGGGTTGGTCCCGTATAGGAGCCGTCGGAGCTGATCGGAATGCCCATCCTCGTGTTCCCTCCGTAAGAGGGTGGTGGCGCCGGTGCGGCGGAAGGTGCAAATTTTTGGTAGTCAGATGAGGCTGAAGAATTCATTGTTCTGGCCGGAAATTATTGGTCCGCTCGCAAACTTCAGGCTATCGAATTGTTGCCGGAAAATTGTATTTCGCCGATTCTGTGATTTTTGGATACTATAGCTGAGCGGAGAGGAATATGTATTTATACTCGGTTTTAGAGGTATATATATATACTTCGTATATCATTGGCGTCAAAGTTGACTAGACTTTTTCAACACGTTGAATAGGTCAAATATGACCACTCAATTACCTTCAAATATACCCAGTTCTTCAGGTAGCTTATTGGGTCGGGTCTGGATTGAAGGACAACCCATACTCAAGCGCTGTTTAAATCTTTACATTCTATTGTTCTTGTAGTGGGTGTTTCATTGATAAGATCTGATCAGTAGCAGTACAGAAGTTTGAATGTCATGTTTATCTCAATTATAAATAGGTTACAGAAAAAGCTTCAACTGAGTTTCAAATTTCTGGGCACATAATGTCAAAAGGAAATTTTCGGCATTAAATTGTCTTCCTCAACTTACATGTGTGATTCATTCAACTAATTAGTTTACTCACTTTCACAGTTGACATGAATACCAAGGACAATCTCATTTTTGTACAGTATCATATTGTGCTTGTACTACACAAAAGTTGGAATATTAAACCAAAGTGTGTAATCATCTTTTACCAAAGTGCTTACGAAACTACGAATGTTTATTCAGTATTATATCTCATTGTTAATTCTGTGTTCTCTCCTTAGCACTAATTAGAATGCATTTCGATGTACCTATTTTCTGTTTTGCGAACCCAGCTGCGGCGCTTCATTCTTGCCTAATTAGAAGGTACCCTATGTATAGTTGTGCTGCAAGTGTAAAGCATTTAGTTGACAATGTTTCATAATAGGTGTTTGTAAGTATGACTAAACTGTATTTATATCAAAGCGACTCATTTTCAGACCCTTCATAAATAAATTGTAAAATTATGTGCAAACTAAATACCAAATTCATGACAAGTCACAAGTGACAGGAGGTAAAAAGACCATTTGGAACAGAGCCAAGAAAAATAATTGGGGTAGTCAAAGGCATTGGGGTGAATTATCCATTCATCCGTGGGAGATTTTTTTTTTAATTTGTGTCAATTGAACTATCAGTTGTTGCTGATCTCTTCTTCCCTAAAGCAGGTACTGAAAATGAGACGGATGGCCACCCTCCTGGTCCTTTGTCCATAATGGAGCCATTACTTGAACTTACCTTCTTCCACACCTCAGAATGTGATTGCAGTTTATTGTATGATCATGCATTTGCACATAACACGTATACTCTTCTCCACATGATTCAGAATCTTCTAAGTTCATCACATTTTGTTTATCCAGAAGAGTAATTTTTCTTTGAAGTCTGGACCCCCTTAACTGCAGTGGTAATGTCTGAACTCTGAACCATCACTAGGACAATATGAAAGATCAATAAACCATTTTAATACTCTAAAGAAAGTAGTTACATTTTAGGAGTCAATGGACCAATTTTCTCAGGAAATTACTAATGGCACTATTTGTGCTAAAAACTGCTAACAGGAATACCCTTTTGGGCTAAAAATAAAACTCGTTCAGTTTAAAAAAAGAGTAAAAGTAGGTAATAATCTATATGAATGAGTGGCTCATTTTTTTTATTTTTATAAAAAATGATGGTTCTATTAATCCTATTATTGAATTTTCGAATCATTATTTTTAATCTATTGAGAAATTGTTTATATTCCTTTCTTTCTCTATTACAATTTACAAGCTTACGACTTATATATATTTGATACTCAAATGTCTGCAATTGCAGGCTTGCAGCTTATAGGCAATTAGGAAAGACTTCCCTGAGAATTACAAGAGCGCAAGATTTCATCAGGTAAAGGCTGTTTAATTTATCACATTTCAGTTTAGTCAATTTGCTTTTGTGAGTTTTTGGCCTTGTTTAGAGTTCAACTGTTTTGAGCAGATTCTTGAGCTTACTTTTATCTTACCACATATCTGCCTCCGCCATCATTACCGATGAGCCTGATAAACTATAAAAGGAAATCAAGAACACATATATAAACATACTAAAGCATATATAGTTTTTAGATAAAAATTAAAATAGAATGTTTTATTGAGTAGAGACACAATGCTTTTGAAAATGAAAATGAAGGGGAAAGCAATACAATAACTGATGAATTAACTAACATGCTTCTCTCCAACCAGCAACATCTTGAATGAGTTTGGCAATGTTGATGGAGGAAGAACCTCCTTCTTCCACTGCTCTCCATGCCCTTTCTTGGAGCACTTTCGCTCTTCTCCTTCTCATATCACCTTCCTCTCCTTCATCAAACACCTTCTCGACAGCCAGCATGATCTCATCTCTGTTCACCTGGACTCCTACCGTTTCCTCCATCCCAAACAAGACTGGAATCTCCATTCCAAGTCGCACTCCCGTCTTGATCACATTCACTGCAAATTTCTCATTCGAGAATTGCTCTGCAAATAGCGGCAGAGTGACCAATGGTAGACCGGAAGTGATCCCTTCGAGGGTCGAGTTCCATCCGCAGTGAGTGACGAATGCCCCAAGAGAAGGGTGAGACAAGATGAGAACTTGTGGAGACCAACCGTGGATGATAAGCCCTCTCCCTTTTACTCTTTCTTCATATTTTTCTTCTTGAAGCCATTTTCCGAACTCAGTAGAGACGTGCCTGATGAATCAACCATTAATAATGCATGATTAAGTAAGATGAAATATCAAATCTTATGTAATATTGGTCTTGATTACGAAGTATTGTATATGTTTGTGCGTGTGTGATTTGAGCCTTTCAGGCGGGGTGAACATACGTAGGTACCTGATGACCCAAATGAAGGGGCGTTTGGATGACTCAAGGGCAAGACCAAGCTCTACCATTTGAGGGGTTGGCAAGCGGGAAAGGCTGCCAAGGCAGACGAAGAGGACAGAGCGGGTTGGCTTGGAGTCGAGCCATTGTAAGCAATGGTGCACATCAATGGATGCCTTGTTTCCTCTTTCACCCTTGTCTGGTTCTACCTTGTTGCACAGAGAAACAGGGCCAACAGTCCAGACGTGTATCCCTTTCGCTCTCTCCAACTCCTTGATGTATTCCGGCTCCAGCTCCTCAAAGCTGTTCACCAATATCCCATATGCATTATTCTCTGCATCTTTGATCTGGTCAAAAAGCTCCCCCCATTCTTTGGAGTGTGGGGTAGCCATATTTGTGAGCTGAGCCTTTGTCATCTCAATCTTATCAGGCAGCCCGGGCACTTCAAAGTAAAAGTCAGACTCCATGCCTTCAAGCCTGTCCCAGTTTCTCAAGTTGTGCTCGCACACCAGCGAGAAGCAACACATCCCATGGAAAACTATGTGCGGGATGTGAAGCTTCAGGGCAATATCGGTTGCCCACGGGAAGCACATGTCGGCAATGATGCAGTTGGGAGAGGGTTTCACTTCTCCCAACAGCTCCTCGACCTGCGGTCGGAGCATCTTCGTGGCGTCGAAGAATTTCGCTGCCATGTCGTAAGAGGGCAGCAGGTCAAAGTTCTCGCATCCCGCTGGTAGCCCCGCCTCGGCACACGGGAAGATGAGGTGGATGACTTGGATGGAGAGCCCAGAGTCCTGAGCCCGAGAAATGACGGGCTCGACTCGGGCAGCATTGTGGGGCGTTAGGAGGATGGTAATCTTAACACCCCGGAGTGCCAATAGTCTCGCTATGTCTATCATGGGGAGCATGTGGCCTTGAGCCATGAATGGGATCAAGATGAAATGGAGCTGCTGCTGCTGCTGTGTTAGGACTGCCATTGTTAATTGGATGGTTTGTTTGCTTGGAGTTGTGTTGTGTCCAGAGCTAAGCTATCCCCTCTTTATATACTACGTATTATCTTGGCTATAGTAGAACTGGGAAAAATCCACGTACTGTGAGACCATGACGTCAGGGCATAGGTTTGCAATCTGCTGCTACTGCAAAGGAGGACTACTGTCTTACGACATTATTGTAGAACTATTATTATTATTATTATTATTATCTTATCTGTCCACAAACTCAACAAAAGGATAGTGACAAGTAGAAGCTTCTGATCTTTTTGATACTGTAGAATGTATTATTGGAATTGGACTGTGTGATGAGCTCTTGAAATTACATGTGGAAATGAAGGGTGAATGCATGTGGTCACATATCTTACAATCACGCATACTTTTTTATTATTTCACTTTTCATTTTTTAACACCAATATCATACGGATTACGGAGTATACTGAGTTTTAAATAAAAAGCACAATGATCTTTTTTCATCTTTGCTTACATTTCTTACTTTTTGGTAGTCATGGACCCGGGCCGGTTCCGGGCCGGGCCCGGCCGGACTTTTTTTTTTGGGAAGGAAGGCCCGGGACCGGCCCGGGTAGCCACCGGGTCCGGTCCGGGTCCGGGCCGGGCCGGGCCGGGCCTCCGGTTCGGTTATAAATTTTTTTTTTTTTTTTTTTTTTTTTTTTTTTTTTGCTTTCCTAACCCCCCACTCACCCCCACACCCCCCCAAACCCCTCCTAACCATCAAGCCCAACTTGGCTAACCCCAAAAAAAGAAAAAAAATTAAAAAAAAATCAATTCGGCCCGGGCCCGGGCCCGACCCGGCCGGTTCGCCAAATACAAGGCCCGATCCCGGACCCGCCCACCCCACCGGGCCTAGGCCCGACCCGGACCCGGACCCGAGAACCGGGCCGGTTCCGGGCTCGCACAGTGGCGGGCCGGGCCGGTCCCGGGCCGGGCGGCCCGAACCGGGTCCATGCCTGCTTTTTGGGCACTTGTAAATTTTTACTCCGTACCTTTTTGTGTTACACAATAAATTGGATCGCCAAAGGTAAATGATGTGTAGGGTAGACAAGGTCTGGTCCCGTGACCGGACTGGATCGGGACCGGCCAGTTGATGAATTGGAATAGAGATTGGAAAATGAAGTTTCAAGCGGAGGCCGATAAGGGCAAAGTAGGGGTGGCCTCGGGCCGGCCAACCGACCCAGAACCGGCCCGAACCGGTACGGTTTGTACCCGCTCCGGTCCGGGAACCGGTCTGAGTATCGGTTCGGGCCTACCCGACCCGGTCGTATAGCGGTCCGGGCTCGGGCCCTGTAAATCATGAACCGGCCCGGCCCGGTCCGGGCCATAACGGCTATAATTTTTTTAAAAAAATTAAATAATAAATGGCCTCCTAGCCGTTGGGACTATTCTCAAACGGCTCTATAGCCGTTGGAGGCCTAAGAGTAGACCTGTCAATGGGTCGGGTCCGGGTCGGAACGTAGTGTTCCAGACCCGGACCCGCTAAGTAAATAAAGGACCCGGACCCGACCCGTTTACCCGGCGGGTCTAAAAATTTGGACCCAGACCCGGACCCAACGGGTCTTGGAACCGGGTCGGGTAGACCCGCCAAGAATCATATGAACAAGTGCACCAACATTATATAATTTTTTTGACACAACATTATATAATTTTTTAAAAATAGCAAAACATGTATATGAAATGTAAATCAAAGTGCACAAATTTAAAAGCAAAATATATCTTCACTTTTCAAAAAAAAATCAAGGTTTACATAGAAAATTAATACTTTTATTGAATAAAATATCGTTTGTTGTAGATGCGTACAATTCCGTACTTTGTGTCTCTTTCTCTCCCATAGAAAACTCGTATATTAGACTAGAAATTAGGTCACAAAAAGTTCTTTTGGACAAAAAGGATATTATATACTATTATATTATCACTTATACATTAGGTATGTATTAATTTGTATCTATTTAATCAAAGAATTAAAACTAATCACTTTATATATATATATATATATATATATATATATATATATATATATATATATATATATATATATATATATATATATATATATTAGTTTGTATTTTTATTTGAAGTATTATAACTAATCTCTTTATATATTAGTGTGTGTATATACTAATAAGAAATTTTAAACGGGTCCGGGTCCTTAACGGGTCGGAATCATATGTACCATACCCGACCCGTTTATTAAAAGTACTAACGGGTCCGGGTCCGGGTCCGGGTAAACGGAATAAAATAAGGACCCATACCCGTTAAAAACAACCGGGTCCGGGTCGGGTCCGGGTCTAGACCCGACCCATTGACAGGCCTACCTAAGAGGGGGGGTCCGGGGGGTTTGGGGGTTACCAAAAAATCCTATTTGTACTCCTATTTTTTATACATTTCTTACACCATCTTCATACAATCCTACTCTCTATTCTCTAATTCTCTCATACTCAATAACTCAAATACTCGGTCTTCTCCATCTTCATCTTCTCCAATTCTCTCTACATATATATATATATGATAGAGTATATGGGCCCGGACCCCATGGCCCACATACTCAAGTCAACGATGGCCAGAAGGACACCCACGTGGCCCCCTTCGGCCAGTGGGTCCGCATCGGCCAGAAACCAAACCGGCCCAGGAAGCACGCATGGACTCCCGGGACCGCATCGGCCCATGGACCGTATCGGCCATGGGACCGCATCGGCCAAAAGTGCACCTCATCGGCCAGGCCTCGTCCTAGCAGAATGCATCTCTCTACTTTATTTGCTAAGTATTGTACTCAGCCCATTAGTGGCCCTATTTCGCCCAAAGAAGGCATGATTATTGTAATGGGCCTCCTAAGCCCATGGCTAGGAGCCCAAATCCACATTTTTACCTATAAATAGACCCCTTGGGGCTAGTTATAGGGGGTTGAGAAATATAATTACTCACTTTCTCTCTCTAGCTCTCACTTCTCTCTAGAATTAATACTCTATCATTTGGTGCTTTCATTGAGAGCTTAGAACAGATCAAGTGAGTACCCTTCGTCGCTACTAGACACTACCGCTAGCTATGACAAGAACTAGGTCAAAGAACACCGGAAGGAATGCCCCACTGAACCAGGAGGGGCAGGGAAACGTTGCTGACAACGTCCCCAATGATCTCATCATTCAGGATGAGAATGCTCAGGAGGTCGAGCTCGCAGCGGCTGACCTTCGCGTCCAGCTCAACAAGACTGCCCCAGACGCCCGCATCGGGCTCGAAGACAGGCGCAATGCTGATCGCGCTTCGGGCCAGCAGGCTTCTCACCCTGCTGCCCCCCAGATCAACCCGGCCGCACTATCGGCCATCGTCGCGAGCATTCTCCAGGACCCCAACGTGGTCAGCGCTCTCGTCGCAAAAACAGGAGAGAACAACACTCCGGTAACTGGAGAGGTCGCAACGGTGCCGCCACCACCACCTCGTCCACAAGGCGTCACCTTCTTCGGTGACAACGAGGACGTCCTCGCCGTGGACACCCATTCCCACACTGCCTCACCTACCCGGGATACACCGGCCCAACCTCGCGGTAAAATCTCAGCCTTCAACAGGCTGGGTGACATCGCGAGCCGTCGGGTACCTACGGGAGGGGTGGCGGGTCGGTTGGGTGGCCGCGAGCCGGGGTCGCCAAAGGAAAGCTTCGGGTCCGTTTCCCGGACAACGGACCGGCCCCGACAAGACAAAGGAAAGGGAAAACTGAATGATGGTGATGCGCGTCATCAGATCAACCTGGCTCACGCGGCCCGGACCCAAACGCCGCTGGGTGGCGCTGCGGCCAACACGGACCCGAGGGACGAGATCATCGCCCGCCTGGAGAAGCGCCTCGCAGATATGGAGGCCCGAGAGGCCGCAGGGCGCGCATCGGCCCACACATCCCAGCATCCCAACTACGATGCACTCCTGCACAAGGTCAGTGCCTTGGAGAGGGAGTTGGCCGACCGACGCGACGAGCCCGTCATCCAAATACGGGCCCGGACCCCCTTTTCTGCGAGGGTGCTCTCCGCTCCCATCCCAGAGAAGTACAAGGGGAATCCGATCAAGCCATATGACGGCCGCACTGATCCTCAGGAGCATTTCACCCGCTATCAGAACAACATGATGATGACCAACGCTTCGGAGGAATACATGTGCCGCTGGTTCCTCTCCACCTTGGAAGGGCCAGCGTATGATTGGTTCAATAACCTTCCAGAAGGGAGCATCGACTCATGGCAGGACCTTGCTCAGCGCTTCCTCACCCACTTTGCCGGGAGGAAGCGTGCGAAGAAGCATTTCGCCCACCTCCTGACCATCAAACAACAATCGGAGGAGACACTCCGAGCCTTCCTCGATCGCTGGACGAGGGAGGCGGACGAATGTGAAGGGGCCGACGAACGCACTCTCTTGGCTTTTCTCCGCGGAGCACTCCGGCCTAGCCACTTCGCCCGGAGCCTGTTCACGGAGCCGCCGCGGTCATACCTTGCGGCGCTCCGACGCGGAGATAGGCACGCTGATGCCGACGAGCTCCTGAACCAGAAGAAGGGTGGGGAGAAGCAACAAAGGAAGGACTCCTCGTCCAACCCCCACCACCCGCCGGCCAACAAGGGACAGCACCAGCCAAAGAAGGCACACCAGGAGCAAGGCGGACAGCGAAGAGAGGACCGCCCATGGCGCCCAAAGTTGGAGGCACAGCGCATCCCCCTCACCCACCCGGTGAGCGTCGTCCTCGACCACGCCGAGGCGCAGGGCCTCATTGTGAAGGACCCCAGGTCAGAGGAAGAGATATTCGCGGTCCACAAAGGAGGGACATACTGCAAGTACCACCGCCAGACATCCCACAAGACCGAGGATTGCACCACCTTGAAGAGGCACATCGACGGCCTCATCCGACAGGGGGAACTTTCCCAATTTTTCAAGGGTGCCCCCAAGAGTAACACTTGGGTTAACCCTGGCAAAAGGGGGGAAGGATCCTCCGGGAAAAAGAGGGAGATCGGCGCCCTCAGTGAAGATGAGGACGAAGAGGAGCCCCGCCAGAAGAAGCATCACATCCACATCATCGTCGGCGGGAACACAGGGGGGGACTCGGCTACCCAACGGAAGAAATGGGCTCAGTCCCTATATGTTGGTGAGGTGACCCACGCCCCCCCTCAGCCGAAGCGGCGCCATGTGGAAGCCATCACCTTCACCGACAAGGACCTCCCCTTCGGCCCCTTGCCCCACAGGGACGCCCTCGTCGTCAAATGCGAGATTGGCAACAACATCATCCACCGCAACTACATCGACACCGGCAGCTCTGTCAATGTGATGTACGTTGACACCTTCAGACAATTGAAACTGAAGAAGACCGAGCTC